CTACTGCCTCACGAACTTCCCCCACACTCACAACTGGCTCTTCCTCACTCTTACAAGATGTTATTCCTCCTTGCCCTATACACAAATCACAGCTTCCCTATCTTCATCAACATTTAACAATTCCTCAAAATATTCCCTGCATCTTTCCAATACCTCTAACTCTCCATTTAATAACTCTCCTCTCCTATTTTTAACTGACAAATTCCATTTGTTCTCTAGGCTTCCTTAACTTGTTAATCTCACTCCAAAACTTTTTCTTATTTTCAACAAAATTTGTTGATAACATCTCACCCACTCTCTCATTTGCTCTCTTTTACATTGCTTCACCACTCTCTTAACCTCTCTCTTTTTCTCCATATACTCTTCCCTCCTTGCATCACTTCTACTTTGTAAAAACTTCTCATATGCTAACTTTTTCTCCCTTACTACTCTCTTTACATCATCATTCCACCAATCGCTCCCTTCCCTCCCGCACCCACTTTCCCTGTAACCACAAACTTCTGCTGAACACTCTAAAACTACATTTTTAAACCTACCCCATGCCTCTTCGACCCCATTGCCTATGCTCTCATTAGCCCATCTATCCTCCAATAGCTATTTATATCTTTCCCTAACTGCCTCCTCTTTTAGTTTATAAACCTTCACCTCTCTCTTCCCTGATGCTTCTATTCTCCTTGTATCCCATCTACCTTTTACTCTCAGTGGTAGCTACAACTAGAAAGTGATCTGATATATTTGTGGCCCCTCTATAAACATGTACATCCTGAAGTCTACTCAACAGTCTTTTATCTACCAATACATAATCCAACAAACTACTGTCATTTCGCCGTACATCATATCTTGTATACTTATTTATCCTCTTTTTCTTAAAATATGTATTACCTATAACTAAACCCCTTTCTATACAAAGTTCAATCAAAGGGCTCCCATTATCATTTACACCTGGCACCCCAAACTTACCTACCACACCCTCTCTAAAATTTCTCCTACTTTAGCATTCAGGTCCCCTACCACAATTACTCTCTCACTTGGTTCAAAGGCTCCTATACATTCACTTAACATCTCCCAAAATCTCTCTCTCTCCTCTGCATTCCTCTCTTCTCCAGGTGCATACACGCTTATTATGACCCACTTCTCGCATCCAACCTTTACTTTAATCCACATAATTCTTGCATTTACACATTCATATTCTCTTTTCTCCTTCCATAACTGATCATTCAACATTACTGCTACCCCTTCCTTTGCTCTAACTCTCTCAGATACTCCAGATTTAATCCCATTTATTTCCCCCCACCGAAACTCCCCTACCCCCTTCAGCTTTGTTTCGCTTAGGGCCAGGACATCCAACTTCTTTTCATTCATAACATCAGCAATCATCTGTTTCTTGTCATCTGCACTACATCCACGCACATTCAAGCATCCCATATATATATATATATATATATATATATATATAATATATTATATATATATATATATATATATATATATATATATATATATATATATTATGTAATGGAGAGAAGTGAGGTGTAGAGATGGGCGAGATATATCACCTGCATTAACGTGTTCAGTCAAGCTTAAATTAGGAGAGGTTGATAGGCCGACTTCAGTACTTCTCTATATACTTCATATAATAGCAGTGTCATATCTTTAATTTTAATTTATAAAGGAGTGGATCTGTAAGCCAGCGGAAGACCTTGGTCAGATGACCAGAAGCTCCAGTGGCGGGTTATCATATGACTGAGACCCGCGTCAGGAAACACTTGTCCTGTTTCCTGACAAATCTTACGTAACCGTGTCATATCCTGTGAGAATAAGTTTGTCCAGTGCTTCAGAAATTAAGAGTGAACCTGATTTTCATGTGATGGTGTGAGTGGTGGCAATCAAAGGAGATTCTAAGCTAAATCTGTTCCGTCTCTCTGCTTCTTTGATAACCAGTTTGACACTGAGAAGTTCATCGGATGGTTCTCTGTGTTGTGGGGATACTTCAAGTGTTGTCCGTGTCGTCATCTCTATGGTAGGCACTTCAGTGCTCGATGATCCTAGTGTTCAGGTCTCTAGAAGTTTCATCACAGTAAACCTTGTCACAGTTTTCACAGGTTATCATGTAGACGCTAACAGTGGAGGGTGTTTCCTTTTTAGCTAAGTTCTTTATTTGTGTTGGAGGCTATGGTGGCAACCCTGATGTTGGCTTTTGTTAAGGATCTGGAGATGTTACTGTTTTTGTTGTGGCAGAACTATGTATCTGCTGGGGTTAGAAACTCCTGGTATTGTGTAGTATCTTCTCTGTTCTTCTACAGTTTCGTCTTGCTGGGAAAAACGTCTCCTCAATAGAATACTAAAACTGCATATTGTGCCTTACTAAGATACTCGTCGGTATATAATACCAATAATATACATGTGTAAGTGTTGTTATGAGGGCGAGAGCAGCGTCGTATGGTCCCCATACTGCGTGGAGACGGCTCTGGGTAAGCTGCGATGGCAGTACACTAGATGCTTAGCTTGTGAACGAGGCGAGGCGAGAATTTTAAGTTGGGCGTTGAGTCGGTGAGTTGGGGATGGGGGTGTGGGATGGAACGTGGGTGCGCAGATAAATATTTGAGTGGGTGTGACTCATTTTATTTGAATTTGGTTTACTTGAGAAGAAAACCTCCCTCTCCCCCCCCCCTGTCCTCCTTTCTCTTCTCCAAACCTGTTTCTATCTCTCCAGAGAGACGATAATTCCAGCTAACAGAGACGCCAGCTCTTCTGGAATAAAACTTTTGGATGTACAGTAGCAAGTCTAGTGGAGCATTGGATGAAATCTTCATGGCCCTGCTGACGTCTCCCAACTTAGACTGACAGATTCTTTATATACAATATAATATATATATATATAATATATATATATATATATAATATATATATATATATATATATTATATATATATATATATATATATATATATATTTTTCAACCATGTGTAGGTTACAAGATGTCAGGAGTTAAGAGAAACTGTTCCCCAGTGTAACTATCTTTAAGTAGGGGTACAGCAAGTACGGTTATTAGTTGATATCTCTCAAACCTGCCTATCCTTACGTACGAAAATTTTTTATACCCTTCCCCAGGTTAAGCACAATTCGCTAGATACTCCAGAACGGAACTCTGAATGTTAATTAGTGTACTGGTGCACTGGAAAATCTTGTTAAGTAGAATGTCAGCGTATCTTGCATCATTCAGTGAATTACGCATCTGCATCACTCTGTACCAGTGTTGTTACTGTTCTGCCTTACCTTGTACAAGTGTTGTTACTACCCTGACTCACCCTGTGCCTTATATATATATATATAGTTGGTAGACAGTAACCACCCAGGGAGGTACTACTGCCCTGCCGAGTGTGAAATGGAAACCTGTAATTGTTTTACGTGATGGTGGGATTGCTGGTGTCTTTTTTTGTCTCATAAACTCGCTGGATAACAGGTATATCTTGCTACTAATACTTACACTTAGGTCACATTACACATGCATGTACACGCATATGTAGTTACACACCAATCTGGGTTTTCTTCTATTTTCTTAATAGTTCTTGTTTTTCTTTATTTAATCTCATCTCCATGGGGAAGTGGGAAAGAATTCTTCCTCCGTAATCCATGCGTGTCGTAAGAGGCGACTAAAATGCTGGAACGAAGAGCTAGTAACACCTCGTTTATAAATTACTAAATTTAAAAAGAAAAACTTGCTTTATTCTTTTAGGTTACCTTACCTTAGTGGGATATGGCCGTTTTGTTGATATATAATTAACAGAACTGCGGCTTGGCCCGGACTCGATCCTGCGTTCCCATGCACAGCCCTTTGAGAATTGAACAAAGTATGCATGTCTCTATCCACTTGACCAAAAATCTTTAAACACCAGGCGCTCATCAGTACTGGGCGTGTTTTTCCCTGATGCAAGGACATAACGTGATCGTGGAGCCGCAGAGATTGTGTGTGTGTGTGTGTGTGTGTGTGTGTGTGTGTGTGTAAAATAATACTGGAACTAACCGGGGATCAAACCCCCGTATTTTAGCACGACTTCCGAGCCTGCTAAAATTCCGAGACGATTGATGGCTCAGTTGTCAAAATCGTCTATCAGTTTTGGTGGGCTCGGTAGGCATGTTAAAATATCGAGGGGTCCCTCCCCGGCTAGCCACATTGTTGCTCTTTACTTAAAACCACTCAATCATGGTGCTAGAAATATTCCTTTTATGTTATCAATGTCAGGGAGCTAGTAATAAACTGCTTGCTTGTTATTTACAAATTTCTGTGTAAGCTGGGCTGTGGGGAGAGTAGTTAACAATGTTGTAAGTGCAGTGTAGCCTGAGGCATCCTGGTGGTCGGGTGTATCACAGTACGCTCCGGCTTCATCAACTTTATTTTAGCCAGGAGCTGAGGTAAGTGGATCAGTGTGAGTACTGGAGATGTGTGAAGGACAGAACACCTGGTGAAGAGTAACTGGAAGTGCAGGACCAGGATTTAGTATGTGATAATAAGGGAAGGACATGATGATTCTTGTCTCGAGTTTCAGTATGTGTAAATATGAATGTAGATTATGTGTGTTAAATGCTGTCAAGTTGATTACTGGGATTATTCTAAACAACTGTGGCTGTGAATTTCATGTCTCTTATTTTATATTAACATTGTGGCAGTACGGAGTCGTGTTTCCTGACCTCACCTCATAAAATCTTATCACCCGATGCTATTGATTCTTGCCATTAGGGCGACTATATTAGCACGAGTGATTCTATCTGGTAATATCACATATCTTTAATTCCTAATTTCAAAAATAGTGTTTTTTTTCTTAATGCCACACTATTCCAGTTTCTATTTTTTTTGTTTGATATTCTAGAGCATTATCAGAGACCAATTAATATACGTGTTATTAAAAAATTATCATACACTGGTACACACACTAACACCTAATACGTACAATGAAAATGGTCATAGAATTTGTGGTAATTTTTTTTTTTATTTTCCACAGGATGTGTGTGTTGGTGACTAGGCTGGACCTTTTATGTAACCTTGCTGAGGAAGTGACTGTATTGTATGTCACAGATATACTGCAGTATATACACTCCACCAGTGTGTAAGATATCTAATTGTGTGCAGAAAAATATGATCTTTAATCATTGGATCACTTATAAGAGCTTTATCTATTAAAGAATTTTATTAACTGGTAACTGGTAAAAGTCAGCTTAACTCTTGTTTAAAATAAATTTGCCAAGGTTTATCCTCGTTACCTTAATGTTGTCTTTGGATAAAATGGCACATTTTGTCTTTTGATACCCTTAGAACCTTTCCTTTTTTAAATGTGGTCCGTCAAACTCCAGCGGAGAGTTAGACAGAACATTGACTTAGAATGAATAGCTCTGGTAGTGTAGCTATTTCTATCATGTCCAGAAAATGACGTTTGACTATGAATGACCAAATATAAACAGCGTATGAGCTAAGCTACGCATGGTTATGTAATAAATAAGAGCGAGGAGTGAGGCAGCCGTGTGTGAGTGAGGTGTGGGGGGTTCAAAAAACCCTGCACACTGAGAGGGGTTTCCAAAACCCTCGTGTACTGAAGGAGGGTTCCCTCGGGTGCTTGCCGAGGGAGCTCCAAGCCTTCCTCGTGGACCGAAGGAAACTCAAAGACTAGCGCCCTGGCCAAGTGGGTTCCAACACTCCAATGGTGATGAAACAGCTGACGGTGGCAATGAAGGATCCCATCTACATCAACCCTCCTTCAAGGTCCAGCCCGCTGCCCGACACTGCCAAAGGGGTGAGTGTGATATTTCTGTATCTTGTCCATCTCCAGGTCCCTCTTTAGACCCTTCGTACATCAAGGTTCCCGGTTCATCTAGGTTCCTCCTCGGGTGGAAGTGTTTCACCATAAATTGCTAACAAGGTGGTGACAATATCTCGTGTGATTGTCCCCTCATCCTTATTCTTCTCTTCCTCCAGACAAGTTGTACAGAGTTTTTGTTGTTTTATATTGTTTGGTAATTTTTTGGTGTTTTTGTAGTGTTTCGGTGCCTAGGTCTTGAAAATGTGTCTATTTTTTTGTTAAGCGAGGTGGGAAACGTAGCTCTGGAATCTAGTGGAGGCTTAGGCGTGCAGCACTGGTAGATCAGCGGACATTGTTTGGTAAACAGCCCACGACATTATTATAATCATGGGGGAGCACTAAACTCATAGGATAATACAGCGCATGTGGGGATGGGGTTTGGAAGGTATTCAGGCTCAATTCAGGGAACTGGAACACAGATCCAATTCCCTAGATCAAGAGCCCCTCGCCAGCGTCAAGGAACCTCCCTTGAGGGGACCCACGACATGAGACTTCCGTTTCTTGATTAACAGAATATTCGTGTGTAGTTGTCTGTCAGCAGAAACACTTGTTGGTTGGCTGGTTTAATAGTTTTAAGGCTTATCGACTACACGAAGGTCAGTAATGCTGCATGTTATATGTAAATACCAGAGATATTTTAATTCCTAAAATAGGGATTCAAGTAAGCTCTCAGCGTATTTATACTGAATATATATATATATATATATATAATATATATATATATATATAATATATATATATATATATATATAAACATTGATCTCTGGCTGAAGGAGACTCGAACTACGAACCTTGGAACAAGGTACGCAGTACTATACCAATCTCACCACACTGGACAATACCTTGGTGTCCAGCTTGCGCTAAACTTTGATCCAAGGCAGCCAGTCTTTCAGGGAGAAGGCTTACAACTTTTCATCTCATCCCCTGCATGCATCAGCCTTACTAGAGATAATAACAATGCAAGGAATTCGCAAGAGCAGGCGAAGTATACTTCGCCTGCTCTTGCGAATTCCTTGCATAAATATATATATATATATATATATATATATATATATATATATATATATATATATATATATATATATATATATATATATAAAGATTACTAAAAGATTACTAAAAAGAATAAGAAGAAAGAAAATGTCCCCAAAGTGGGAAGTCTGAATGTGCGTGGATGTTGTGCAGATGATAAGAAAGAGATGATTGTGGATGTTATGAATGAGAAAAAGCTGGATGTCCTGGCTTTAAGTGAAACAAAGCTGAAGGGGGGGGGAGAGTTTCAATGGAGAGGAATAAAGGGATTAGGCCCAGGGTTTCAATGAGTTAGAGTTTAAGAAGGAGTAGCAATAATGTTGAAGGATAAGCTATGGCAGGAAAAGAGGGACTATAATGTATTAATTCAGGATTATGTGGAGTAAAAAAAAAGATTGGATGTGAAAAGGGGGTTATAATAAGCGTGATGCACCGGGAAGAGAGAAGTGTAGAGGAGGAAAAGAGATTTTTGGGGGAAAAGTTGAGTGAATGCGTGGGGAGTTTTGAATCAAGTGTGAGAGTAATGGTGGTTGGGGATTTCAATGCTAAAGTGGGTAAAAATGTTATGGAGGGAGTAGTAGGTAAATTTGGGTGCCAGGGGTAAATGTAAATGGGGGGCCTTTAATTGAGCTATGTGTAGAAAGAAATTTGGTAATAAGTAATACATATTTTATGAAAAAGAGGATAAATAAATATACAAGGTATGATGTAGCACGTAATGAAAATAGTTTATTAGATTATGTATTGGTGGATAAAAGGTTGATGGGTAGGCTCCAGGATGTACATGTTTATAGAGGGGCAACTGATATATCGGGTCATTATTTAGTTGTAGCTACAGTTAGAGTAAGAGGTAGATGGAAAAGAGGGAAAGGGGGCAACAACAAGTAAGAGGGAGGTGAAAGTGTATAAACTAAGGGAGGAGGGAAATTCGGGCGAGATATAAGCGACTATTGGCAGAAAGGTGGGGTAGTGCAAAGATGAGTAATGGGGGGGTTGAAGAGGGTTGGATAGTTTTTTAAAAATCAGTATTAGAATGTGGGGCAGAAGTTTGTGGTTATAGGAGGGTGGGTGCAGGAGGGAAAAAGGAGTGATTGGTGGAATGAGAAGTAAAGGGGGTGATAAAAGAGAAAAAGGTAGCTATGAAGGTTTTTACAAAGCAGAAGTGTTATAAAGAAGAGCAGAATATATGAGAGTAAAAGAAAGGTAAAGAGAGTGGTGCGAGAGTGCAAAGGAGAGCAGATGATAGAGTGGGAGAGGCACTGTCAAGAAATTTTAATGAAAATAAGAAAAAATTTTAGGAGTTTAAACAAGTTAAGAAAGCCAAGGGAAAATATGGATTTGTCAGTTAAAAACAGAGTAGGGGAGTTAGTAGATGGGGAGATGGAGGTATTAGGTAGATGGCGAGAATATTTTGAGGAACTTTTAAATGTTAAGGAAGAAACAGAGGCAGTAATTTCATGCACTGGTCAGGGAGGTATACCATCTTTTAGGAGTGAAGAAGAGCAGAATGTAAGTGTGGGGGAGGTACGTGAGGCATTACGTAAAATGAAGGGGTAAAGCAGCTGGTACTGATGGGATCATGACAGAAATGTTAAAAGCAGGGGGGGATATAGTGTTGGAGTGGTTGGTACTTTTGTTCAATAAATGTATGAAAGAGGGGAAGGTACCTAGGGATTGGCGGAGAGCATGTATAGTCCCTTTATATAAAGGGAAAGGGGACAAAAGAGACTGTAAAAATTATAGAGAATAAAGCTTACTGAGTATACCAGGAAAAGTGTACGGTAGGGTTATAATTGAAAGAATTAGAGGTAAGACAGAATGTAGGATTGCGGATGAGCAAGGAGGTTTCAGAGTGGGTAGGGGATGTGTAGATCAAGTGTTTACATTGAAGCATATATGTGAACAGTATTTAGATAAAGGTAGGGAAGTTTTTATTGCATTTATGGATTTAGAAAAGGCATATGATAGAGTGGATAGAGGAGCAATGTGGCAGATGTTGCAGTATATAGGAATAGGTGGTAAGTTATTAAATGCTGTAAAGAGTTTTATGAAGATAGTGAGGCTCAGGGTTTGGGTGTGTAGAAGAGAGGGAGACTATTTCCCGGTAAAAGTAGGTCTTAGACAGGGATGTGTAATGTCACCATGGTTGTTTAATATATTTATAGATGGGGTTGTTAAGGAAGTAAATGCTAGGGTGTTTGGGAGAGGGGTGGGATTAAATTATGGGAATCAAATTCAAAATGGGAATTGACACAGTTACTTTTTGCTGATGATACTGTGCTTATGGGAGATTCTAAAGAAAAATTGCAAAGGTTAGTGGATGAGTTTGAGAATGTGTGTAAAGGTAGAAAGTTGAAAGTGAACATAGAAAAGAGTAAGGTGATGAGGGTGTCAAATGATTTAGATAAAGAAAAATTGGATATCAAATTGGGGAGGAGAGTATGGAAGAAGTGAATGTTTTCAGATACTTGGGAGTTGACGTGTCGGCGGATGGATTTATGAAGGATGAGGTTAATCATAGAATTGATGAGGGAAAAAAGGTGAGTGGTGCGTTTGAGGTATATGTGGAGTCAAAAAACGTTATCTATGGAGGCAAAGAAGGGAATGTATGAAAGTATAGTAGTACCAACACTCTTATATGGGTGTGAAGCTTGGGTGGTAAATGCAGCAGCGAGGAGACGGTTGGAGGCAGTGGAGATGTCCTGTTTAAGGGCAATGTGTGGTGTAAATATTATGCAGAAAATTCGGAGTGTGGAAATTAGGAGAAGGTGTGGAGTTAATAAAAGTATTAGTCAGAGGGCAGAAGAGGGGTTGTTGAGGTGGTTTGGTCATTTAGAGAGAATGGATCAAAGTAGAATGACATGGAAAGCATATAAATCTATAGGGGAAGGAAGGCGGGGTAGGGGTCGTCCTCGAAAGGGTTGGAGAGAGGGGGTAAAGGAGTTTTGTGGGTAAGGGGCTTGGACTTCCAGCAAGCGTGCGTGAGCGTGTTAGATAGGAGTGAATGGAGACGAATGGTACTTGGGACCTGACGATCTGTTGGAGTGTGAGCAGGGTAATATTTAGTGAAGGGATTCAGGGAAACCGGTTATTTTCATATAGTCGGACTTGAGTCCTGGAAATGGGAAGTACAATGCCTGCACTTTAAAGGAGGGGTTTGGGATATTGGCAGTTTGGAGGGATATGTTGTGTATCTTTATATGTGTATGCTTCTAGACTGTTGTATTCTGAGCACCTCTGCAAAAACAGTGATAATGTGCGAGTGTGGTGAAAGTGTTGAATGATGATGAAAGTATTTTCTTTTTGGGGATTTTCTTTCTTTTTTGGGTCACCCTGCCTCGGTGGGAGACGGCCGACTTGTTGAAAAAAAAAAAAAAAAAAAAAATATATATATATATATATATATATATATATATATATATATATATATATATATATATATAATATATATATATATATATATATATATATATATATATATATGCAATAAGAAGATCACAGTAAACAGGCGATTTCAGAATATGCAAAACAACCACTGTGAAAGAATAGAGAAGTTCCAATCGCTTTCGTGACTACTCACATTATCAAGGAACAATGTGATAATGTGAGTAGTCACGAAAGCGCTTGGAACTTCTCTATTCTTTCCCAGTGGTTGTTTGAATATATATATATATATATATATATATATATATATATATATATATATATATATATATATATATATATATATATATATATATATATATATTTACTATATATATATATATATATATATATATATATATATATATATATATATAGTAAATATAATGGCAAATACACATTTCTCAGTGTATACGTTGGGAGATTCACACGTCTTAGTGTATATACACTGAGATACACAAACTTCTTGGTTTATATAC